CCACCGTCGGGCGCATGTACGGCCGCGAGGAGATCGAGTGGCGGGACCGCAGCTGGCGACTCCTCGAGAACGAGGGCCAGCTCGAGACGGACGACTGGACGTACGCGGGCATGGTGGCCGGGCCCGCGGTGCTGGCTGCCACGAAGGGGGGAGCGCTGGGAGGTTGGAGGGCGGTCGTGGGAGCCAGCGGGCTGGGGAGCATAGCAGGTATGCTGGGGTACATGACCTGGCGATATGGCATCAACGGGGGCAAGTTCCCCGGGTCGGCTATTGCAAAATAGAGACTTTTGTCGGACGAGTCGGCGTTAAGGCCTGCGATGGTTCTCTACTCAACCTCTCCAACGGGAGGGAAGGAAAAACAGAAATCCTCAATGGATGCTGGTGTGCGTACCAGTACCTTTGTATTAATATAATGATGAATGTACAATCACTTGAGAAAAGAGACTTTGGACAGCATTCATAATCGTAGCGGGTGATGAATCTATAAGTGCTTCCATTCAAGACGCGTGGAGTGAGCAATATGAATTTGTTTAAGAGCATCAATTAGCGTTTCTTGTTAGTTTATGATAAATTACGACCCAATTGCCCTGAACACTTAGTTTAACCCATCCGCCTACCACCCAAAGCTTCGTCAAACATAAAAATACATGATTCTGTCGTGGCAGACTTCATTCTGATTCCACCAAACGCCTTGCTGAGGAACAATACAACTGATTAGAAAAAACAATCACATCTCGCACAATCCCATCCCTGTGCTCCGTCACCTCTCGAGCCTTCATCCATCAGCTCCAACATGAGAGCCATGCGTAATTATAGATAAGGCATCCACAAAGCATCGCACTGCGCCAGACTCATCGGGTTAACAGCCTTAGCGATAGCATCGATGACTGTCTGGTTGGCAGGTAGATTGCCAGAAGGATTATGAGCTAGACTGATGGCCCTCTTGACCACAGACTCGCTATTGACCTGAACTGACTCGCGGAGCTGGTTCTCGCTAATACTGTTTCTATGCGTGGTCTGCAACCAGAAGATCATTTCATCCCGCACAAACAAGGTTAGTGCGTGTTCCAGCTCTTGCTCGGGTTCTGTAAGGCATCGTGCGATAGCCATGAGCGAGCATGCAAAGATACCCTCGGTGGCCAAAGGACCCATCAGAACCTGCAAGTTGGGTGTCAACCGGAAGGGGACAGGCTCGGGATTCTGGAAGAATGGTTTCGTTGAGCTCATGTACGACATCAACTCGGATCCCCAAATGTTACCGGATCCACGAGCGATGTTGATCTTCTGCGGGTACCTGTTATGCATATAGAGAATATATGTCATGAACGTAAGCGCCGCTAGCTGGTACGAGAACTGCCGACGGAAGAGCCAGAATTCTGTGAAGTGTGGGAACGCCTTCTGGAAGTATTCGAGGGCTACTGTCTGAGGAACCCACTTCTCCTGGATTGCATTGAAGACTTCCAGTCGAGCAGTAGCAGTTTGCTCTGGTTTATTCTGTTCGATGTCGGTTAGCTTCTGTGCCATTATTGTAGCTTCGTCACCTTGGAAACTTACAGTCATCTTCATCTCCAGCACTCCACGCAGCTTCTCCATGGTGAACAGAACAGGCTCGTCCTTGGACATACCCATCCGCCTGCAATGATCCTCATATACCCCTTGCAAGGTGATGTAAGATGTGTCTTCTTGCACTATTCTGATATGAGGGGCGAGGGGCACCATCAACGGAAGTGTGAATTGAATGTCGCGGCGACGGCTCTCCTTCTTACGGCTGAGGGTCTGGTTCAGGCCCCTGAACAGTTGCAGGATACGCTCTTCCCGTCTGCAGTGTCTCGCGGCTGGGTGTTGCACAGCCCATGAATGCACGCTTCCGTCATGTCCTCGCATTTTCAGTCGACGGTACGAACCGCTAATGGTTCGGACCAGATCAACATTGCTCAGGAAGCGTTCAATTCGAATAAAATCTTGATTCTTATCCTTGTGCTGGAGGTACTGTCCGGGAATCTCCACCTCGTCAAACTTCTGGTATCGGAACTCACTGAGGTGCGGGGACGAGGCTTCCAGCGATTGTCGGGTGACACGGCGATCAAGTTTCTCTTCAAACTTGTCCCTCCACTTTCGCAGCTTGTGGATGTATTCGTACATGGTGGGCTTGACCTCGACGAAATCGGCCTCAAAGGATTTCTTGATATGGGAAGGAAGAATCGTCTCCGCGAAGCGAGTAATGTTCAGTTCTGTGGCAGATGGCAGCTTGACGCTCTTAGCAAACGAGGCTGGAGTGCGACTGACATAGGCCAGGGCATCATTCAAAAGAGCAACGATAAGGCGGTATGCATCTTCATCGGGAGGACACTTGAAATGCTTCTGTATCTGATCCACCATTGTCTCCATTGATAAGGCCAAGAGAGGGAATGCGGTCTTGAGAACCGCCATGATTTCTTCAGTGAGCTCCCAAGGTGGTTTCTTTTCTGTACTCTGGGGAGCCGTTGCGTTCGCAGGAGTAGGTGTAGCATTTGCCGGCGCGCCCTCTTCCTTGGTTTCCGTCTTCACCTCTGTCTTGGGCTGAGTGGTGTCGTTGCCGCCAGCAGTACCTGGTCGCGACGTTGACCCTTCAGTCTTGGGAGGTTCCTGTTTCGTCTGCTGGGGCGAAGCATTGGGTTTCCCACTGGCAGCAGCGGCAGCAGCCTGGTTCGCCAGGCCCCGTTGTCTGGCCTTCTCTTTCGCTTCCTGGCTCTTCTTGATTACGAGCATATCTTCCCGGTTGGTCCGAAGCTGGAAGTACAGAGCCTGAGGATAGGATTTTGCAATTCTAACGAGAATCTGGTAAACCTTTGGCGCTTCTTTGTGCCCAAGACCGGTAAGCAACTGGGGAATGAAGGTAATCCAGTACCACACCGGGGTCTCGCCCTTGAAATCCTCGAAACCCATGGCAATGGAACCCTTAGCATCATCCAGGCTCAGTAACCAAAGAATACGAGCAAGGAGCTTGCGAGACTTTGCATTCTTGTAGCTTCCAGCAGCCTGGAGGTACGATGTCAGAGCTTGCCGGGCTGCATTCAGATCCGTTGGTTCCGAGTTGAACTTCCTGTCATTGAAGTATCCCCACTCGGCCCAAGCCTTGGCAGCTGAGATGTCAAAGTACAAGGCTGTGCCGTACGCATTGTCGGCCTCATCCTTCTGGTTCAACTTCTCCAAGAACATACCCTTCAGAGTATAGAACTCAGCCTTTTGCTGAGGGCTGAAATAATTGAGATTGGTGTTGTTGATCACATCAAGACCACTTGAGAGTTCCTCTGGATTCTCATAATGACATTTAGCCTGCTCACGAAGTTTCAAGAATGCCTCCTGAATCTCGATGTTGGGTAGCGTATAGATACGACTGAGCTGACTGATGCATACTTCAGGCAAACTGTGCTTTCGTGCCACATGAGCAAATCGGTTGATAATCCATGCAGTTTCGTGATAGCCACGGTATGCGAATGACGAGGCACCACTGCTGTTTTGTTGACCTTGAGGGGGGAGCAGCTGAAGGTAGGTTTGGTTGATAAGACCAAAGATATGTTGCCTCCAGGTGACAAGATCTTGCCAAGCCGTGATATCGTCCCAAACGTTGGGCAATCGGTCCCGCCAGGCTCCAAGAAGCAACTTCAGCTCACCAGATTTGACATCGAGGTTGGTTGAGTTGGTGTTGGCTAAGCTCTGGCAAATAACACTGGCATCATGAAGCTCAACGAGTTGCTGGAAGTTTTGGAGAAGGGGAATATGAGCATTCGTAAGCCGATCAGGAAGTTGGTGCCACTTCCGGATTGATAGTTGGATCGCTTCATCGCAGACACGGACAAACTCATTTTGTGGTTCTTGTCCATTGTGGAACTTGAGCAGAGACATGAAAGCCTGGAAGAAGGCGCGTCTTGGCGTAGGGGCATCCATAACACCTTGGATCACAGCGTTGACAGCATCCCTCTGTGGTTCCTCCTGCCACATTTCCGTGTTGCGCCAGGCGCATTCCAGGAGAAGGTCCTGGAAGTTCTCGTGTTTGGCAAAGTCCTGAAGAATCTCCCACTGCTGTAGTTTCTGTGCGCACAACACCCAGTGATCCTCCCAGAGCATGTATTCGGCCTGCCCAAAAGGAATGACTCCGGTCCTTGCTTTGATTTGAGCGTTCTCGTACAACTTCTGGGCCTTGTCCCACATGCCATTCTGCTCGTAGGAAAGCGCAGCGTTGGTCTCCATAAACTGAGACCTCCTTCGCCATGTTCCATAGAACAAGTCTTCCTCCTGGAGAGACGAGTACATTTCGACAAGAGCATCGAGATTGCTCTCACGAACCTTGGCCGAATCGCTGATTGGCTTGATGGCAGCGTTCTCCAGTTGCACCATGGCGGTGTACCAGGCATCGTACGTCTTTCCAGCGAATTTTAACACATGAGGAGGCAGTTTACATTCAGGCCACGTTCTGGCTGCGCCTTCGATAAGAGACTGAACCACATTAGGGCGCTTGTCGATCTGACGGCTATGGAAGTCTTTTGTTAAGAGAACAACCAACCCACGCTCGAGTTCTATTCGCTCGTCCCGTGCAGTCGAAGACCAGAAAAGTGGGAAAAGAGTGACCCAGACTTCATGGGCCAGCTGAGAATCAATGTGCTGCAGCTGAATGAGAGGCTCGATAATATCCCGAACCTTGACGTCGCCAATTTCTGTCATAAATCGCCGATGCTTAGCCATAAACGTGTCGAATTTGTCATCTGACATCAGTGTTGGTTCTCTGTGCTCCTTCTCCTTTGAATAGACTGCAGCAAGCTGAGAAGCAGACAAGACCTTGAAGTCGGTATGGTGAAGCTGAATATTTGTACTCATCTCAACACCGCCTAGCAGCAGCTGGGAGGCTTGTGCTAACCAGTACGAGTCTGCCAGCATGTCCCAATTTTGAGAGTTTAGCACATACGCAAGCCGTGCACTCGATGTCTTCGACAAACTCTTGTCGAAGATAGTCATGAAGCGGTTGCGCATCTGATGGTCAACAGCACGGGTGCCGATGAGGAAGGCATGCTCCATTCGTACAGTTAGCTCAGTACGAGTGATCTTTGGATCCTCGTAGATTTGAATCACAAGCTCCAGAAACTTGGACAGCATAGTTGGATCTTGTCGATGTTCGAAGGACAGCATTTTGTGGAGAACAGCAGTCTTCTCCTTAAGCGTGGGCCAGGTTCCCTCTGATCGGAACACCCAGCCCTGAACCATGCTCAGGATCTCTTCACACAATCCAATGTGCATCGACTTTTCTACCAGAGTCGCGAGGACACTCAGGAAAGGTCGTCTGTGGTCACCAAGCTGTTCCATACGCAAGGCCACTACCTGGATCTCCTTGATCATGATCCTTGTTTGAATCTCGAGATCGTGGGCATTCATTTCCACAGGAGGGTTGCTAGCATCTTGGCTAGGGGGCTGCTTAATCCCAGCAGCTTGTCCGGCAACTATATTATAGTGCTGGACATGTTCCCTGGCATGCTTGCTTTGTAAAGCTTTCATGAGGGATGGAATGTGCTGGTCGATGACGGTAGGTTTCCTGTTGCCTATTGACCACAGAATGTTGACACCAGAAACGTATGAGCTATTGTTCATCGCTTCAGTCGCCACCTGTGAGAGATGGGCTATAAATTCGGACGTTTGAGTTTCTGGCTCGCCATCGGCATCCGCATCGTCCATTGGTGTGTCTTCTGGAACAGCATCGAGAACTCGCTTGATGATAGGCTTGAGATCCCTACCATCATCGTACTTCTTGTCGGCAGAGTGTAGGCAGTCCTGAATTTCAGGGTTCTCACTCTTCAAGCACTTCTCTAGCACCTTCTGCACGGCTGGCATATTTGATCGAACCCAATCATCCGACTTGGAGTTGAGAACAATGCGTACAACCTGAAGGGTGTTGATGATATTAGTGAGGAACTTGTCGTCGTATTTCTCCTTATCAGACGGATCCGTGTTGAGGATCGTCTGTGTTTTGTCACTAGCAAGGATAACATCCGTGACGTTCGGGAACAAATCCAGTTCTAAATCTCCCCAGTAACGAGGCTGGACAAGATGATGGAACAAGGCCATGGCTCGCTTGCAGAGGTCAGATGGAGGGGGACTAAGAGGGAGTACTGAGGTGTTCTCAACACGAGGTTTCGCCGAAGGCAGTTCATATCTCTCATGCAGCTGTGCGATGAATTCGACCAGATACTTGAGCATCTTAAGGCGGAACACTGGTGGAAGTTGATACTCAGGTCTCTCGACTGGGGCGGTTTGCTGAGGTGTTGATACCGCGGGTTGTCCTCCAAGAGACTCTCCCTCAAGTTTCCGCTTCTTGGAGTTGGGAGATTCAGAGACCGATCGAACTTCCTGCTCCGAAAATGGTTTGCCTTCAACTCGCCACTGTTCCCAGGTCCAGATCAGGTCCATCATATTAAGAGCCAGCTTTCTGCTTTCGTGTGACGGGTTGGGGGGTACCGCAACTTTCCGGAGTGACGTGATAAGGAGAATCATGTACTTGTCGCGCGCATCAAAAAACAGGCGAGGGTTTTTGACAAGGAAGTGGAAGATGCTCGTCATTTGCTGCACATTCTGGCCCTCGTCCGCAAGAATCCTTCGAGGAGCCATAGCCCAAGCCAGTGACCTCTCACCACCCTGAGCGCTATATCTTTTAGGTAGCACTGGAGCGATCAACTCGAGGGCTTGGGTGACTAACGCGCGACCCTCATTCTGATTCGTTTTGAGCAGTGACAGATAGACTTGGGAAACAATCTTGATTGGCGTCTCGTAGATTGAGATGAAGAAACCAATAACAACATAAGCGGCATGCTTGTTGATAATGTCGTCAAGACGAATAAAGGTCCAGCCAAACTTAATGATGTCCTTTCTCGCCTCCAATAGTGCTGTATGATAATATTTGACAAGCATTGCGGAAAACTGTAATAGTTCAAATCGAGTGTGATCGATACCAGGCTGAGCTTGGTCATCAGCGGTTCCCTCAGGATTAGTTGGAACTTTCCAAATTTTCGTGCTGACAGATTCGATGACGGAGCGATCAATCAACTTGTGAGTCTTGTTCTGCTCTCGGGTGTGCCAGTGCCTCATCACATCCATGGCAACAATCGGGTTGACAATGTAATGCAACAAGAAGTATTTCGTCTTGTTCGAGTCATTTTTCCCTGCATACACTTCCAGGCAGCGGAGGATTGTTGTCCTCCAAAAATCAACAGAGTCATCGGAAATGATATGCTCGTAAAGGAAAGTAAAAAGTTTCTGCGTAGAACGCAGCTCCTCTGCCGTTACTGAAGCGACCAGACTGAAAAGACTGTCCAAGTCCTTGGGAGTCTGCTCAAGTGACTTCACCAAGATCGTCATGAGCTGCTCGGATGCCTGATAAGAAGCCAATCGAAGGTGAGCTGGGAGTGTGTAGCTTCGCTGATGGTGCTCGAAATCCTTTCCAATTGTCTTCAGCCAAGAAACGACCTCCTTCTTGGCTAACCAGGTACTTGCATTCGGGTAGTGACACATCGACTCTAGAATGTGCACAGCATTAATCATTCCGATGAATTTAACTTCTCCTCCCTGTGCAATGAGTTCATTGCATTTAGTCATTATGCCTTCAATGGATTCGACGGCAACTTCCCGTAGCGGCGAGCTATCGTTATGAGCAACTGCTTGAGCCAGAAGGCGACCGTATTTCAGCTCGCCTAGCTTATCCGCCAAGTACGCCCAAAGTTCCTTGGGATATCGATTGATGTATCGATATATGGGGAGTCGGAATGGGCTATGGTGTGTTCTTCTAAGCCTCTCCTCAAGAGTCAGGAAGTACTCAATCAGTCGCTCCTCGAATTCCTCAGCAGGGGCTGGGAGCAAGTGGAAAATGTTTAGGATCGCGGCGATGACCTTCATTTGAGAATTCTGCTCAAAATACGTAAAGGAAATCTGCTGCCACATGTTGGGTTCAACAATATGGTCGATTTGATCAAGTAGACGAGTGCCAATTTCCTTCTTGAAATAGCTTGTCAGCAGCTTCAGAAGCCTGGACAGGTTATCAAGGCCAGCAGTCGTGAGACGTTTGGGGTCCTGAAGACTTTGGAGAACGGGCTTCAGTCCACCTTGAAGAAGGTCCTTCGGCAAGCGTCTATCCACACTAAGAACAGACTTCAAAGCATCATGCGCAGCAAGAATGGTTGGCTTGGACTCGGAGTAGAGACATTTGAAGTACACAATCAGAATCCTTGACTTGCTTGGCGAGTTGGCGAACTCTTCGCAGCCCATCGCAGTACTCAACAGCTTGATGCAGGAAACCCTCAAGTTTACAATGTGCTCGTGGGTGCGATACTCGGCGGGTTTATTGGCGAGGGACTCATCATTGGCGTCAGCCAGTGCGAGCGATTCCATGAGGAGTCGGTTCAAATTCTCGTCGAACGGAATCCAATTACTCTTAAGACCGAGATGATACGTCATGCCATTGATGTAACCAATCTGTGTGACAAATGGCAAAGCTCTTAAGGGCTTAGCATAGATGGGTTGCAGGAATCTCTCTTTGTAGGGCTCAAGCAGTTCCCAGACCTCGCAGCTGGCGGCACTGGCGATCAACTCGAGGGATTGTCTTGCAGCCTCACGTACGTGCTTGTTCATGTGGCACAGCTCGTTGTTGAACAACATACAAATCTGAGCCAATCTGGGCTGTTTCTGCGGCGCTTGACCTTGCTGGTGTGGGATGGGCAGTGCGTCCTCCTTCTTGATATTCTTTGTGATCCGCGCAAGCAAAACCTTCAGACTCGACTGGGCAAGGCGTCTGGTTTTCTCAGGGAGGTCCTGGGGCATGTCCTTGATCACGTACATCAAGGCACGGATGAACTCTGTCTGTTTCGTTGCAACCCAAGCATCACCTAGATCCAGTTCAGTAAGCAGGAAGTGGATACCAAGGCTGCCTCCAGTCTTCGTGAACCATTCTTCCTCATAGCAGCTGTGACAGAACGTGCTACTTAGGCGGTTGAAGAAGGGTAGATGCCAGACACTGGCCTCGGAACCCAAGATAGTCACGAAGGAGTCATATAGCTCCCGAATGCAGTTCTGGGAGGCTTCACGGACCTCGGGGTGATCGGATGCGAGGGACTCCACGATAGCCTCGGAAAGAACCTTGGTGTCAATGCACAGAGGGCCCTCACCCGCCTTCGGATCGAATGGATTGTGCTTCTTAAGCTCCACCAACGAACGCCCGACTTCAATGAGTGCGAAATGACGACAGATATTGAGCAAGAAGGCCTGCGACTCTTCTTGGAATTCTGGCATTGACTGTGTGAATAACACAGCCTTCAAAAGCCTCTTGACTATTTGGTCTTGCTCCTCCTTCTTGGGAATAGATCTTTCGCGGTCAGAGATCTCAAAAGGCGCGAAGTTAACATCCAGTTTCCGAGCTAAGAAATCCTGTGCTTGAAGTCGTACAATACGAGGTAGGTCGTCGGGAAGTTGGTCGAAGCCAATCCGGAGTTTGATGTTTGCCTTGATGAACTGGAGAGCCTGCTGTTTGTAATAGCCGTCAAACTGGCGCGACTGGTTATTCTTAGAGTTACGGGGCACCTCCATCAATTTCTGAATCGCTGCATCAATTCCAACTTCTGCAGGGAAGGCACGGTCTTTCTTCGATCCAATTAGACGCACGTCGAAGCTGCTGGGATCCTCGGCATATTCCTTGTACCTGAGAGGAACTGCATTCGTCATAAACTTTCGGTTTCTGCCGCCCAGCTTACCCAGAATCCTCAAGGTTGTGTGAGCGTGGAAGTGGTTATATGGATGAGGCCTCAGGTGATCGAACAAAGCAGTCATAAGCTCATCAATAACTGGCGCCATAATGGGGTCCAGGTAGTCTGCAGTTAGATTGTCGACGCAGAGCTCCAGTGTTCTCAGCCCCTGGCCAACAAGATCGGTACCCGCGCGCAAAGCAACTACTAGTGGTCGCATCAGAAAACTGAGATGTGGGAGCAGGTGACTCAAGCGAGCAGGCACTGTCAGACAGAGCTCGACATACAAGTCACGGTCGCTGGGCTTCCTTGCGGCCATGAGGAGGTTGTTGAGAACATCAAGAAGCATTTCGAGGAGAGGTAGAATCTGCTTGTAAAGTTGCTCAAACTTGCCACCGCCAATGCTACGGAAGAGGGATCTCAGCAACAGGAAGTAGTTGATTGGCTCCTCAGCCTTTGTTGAAAGCTCAATTGACTTGGTGACAATGTTGACGACATGTGGGAGGAGTACCTGCTCGTTCTGTGGAGCAAATAGCGTAACCGCCATGAATGCGAGCTTGAAGAGACGTAGCAGAATTGAAGACTTTCTCACATCAGCAGAGCCAACTTGGTCGATGCGTTCCATCAAGAATTGGAGAAGCATCCCGCAAAAACTTGGCGATGTTGCTTCGCTAGCAAGAAAGAACTGAGGAATATGCAGAAGGGCAGTATGCTCGAAAATCATGTCATAGAGCCTTGGGATCTCCCGTTGAAAAGCCTCGTGAAATGTGGCAGGGTCGATGCAGTGGAAGACGGTGGCAAAAGTCTCAAGAAGCTCCTTCTCTTCCTTACTACTGGAGATCATATAGAAGTTTGCCATGTACTCCACAGGAGAAGAATATTGAGGCTCGGCTGTTGGCTTCTCGATCTCATAGTAGCGGAAGACATAGGCACCCTCACGGAAAAGCTTGACGATCACCTCGACCTCCTCTGCGTTGAAGCCATAGGAAACGTCCTGCCAGTGGGTTGGAACCGTAGCAATGTCAAGCTTAAGATCGACATTGCAGGTTCGAAGCTGGTAAAATGTGTTCTTCAAGCCATTCATAAGATTTCGAAACAGGAATTTGTTGTCTGCCACTGGGTCATTAGCCCTGTCTCGGGGATTTGATGTCTTAATCGGCATAGCTGAGAAGATATCGATCTCGTCCCATTCAGGCGCCTTATCCTTCTCAGTTTGTGGATCCGGTTGGCCACCCTCCAATTGTTGGTGGTATATCTTCGACAGCTTCTTCGCATTATCATATTGGCGATTCATGGCGGCAAACTTGTCTCCAATAGCATTAAGGATCATGATCAAGTAGTGTCGAGCATCGTTCTTGTTGGGTAGCTTTGCAATGCATTCAGCCATGTTAAGCAGAAGCTTGGCGCTCATTGTTTGAAAGCTCGTCCCGGGAAAATTATCCTGGAGATTCTTGGTGTAGACCTCAACAGTCTTGCGAATTTGCTCAGGGCTCAAAGAATCCCGCACATGATGAATGAGATCAGCCAGCATGCTATACGCCAAAGGTCGCATAGTTTCATAAACAGTAAGACCGTCGCCCGTCAAAGTTCGCTCATCCAAAAGCTCATCGATCTTTGGAAGGAAAATGGTCCTGAAGTTGTAGTTGATGATATGCCGGATAGCGACTAGCAATTCCTTCCGAGTACCGGACTTCTCTCGCGGGCAGTCCTTGAGCAGCCTAACCACTATTCCGGGCAAATTAGGGAGAAAGTCTGAGAGCTGGTTTGCATACTGTCTAAGCAGATAGGCCAGAAAACTCATTGTCTTGACTTGCGCCGTGATCATGTCACCGAAAGCAGCCCTATTCTTAATGCCTGAACTAACACCAGTATGGATTTGGCCTTTGGCGGCAGCATCCGTGTGTGCTTGCTGCTGAGCACTGGCCTGTACCGAAAGCACATTTTTTATTAATGGAACAAATGCCTTGACATTTTGTTGTACAGTGTTGCGGTAGATCTGGAAAATCGAAACAACGATGATGGGGCATTCGGACAGGACCTTGAAGGACCGCATGCCCTTCAAAAGCGATCTATTCTGTTGCTGAGGATCCGGTCCAAGATCAGGAACGGCGGCTACAGGCGATCCCGGCCGAGGAGACTGGAAATTGGTCTGGGTGCTTCCTGGCGTCGACGGCGCGGCGGCTGCTGCGAGCTGTGAGTTTACAGGCTGCGAATTTCCGGGGCCTGTCGGGTTATCCAGCTGTTCTCTGACGACGCTCTCCATCTGTTCAAACAGCTCTTGAATGAGTGTCAAGAAATCCTGGACCTTGCCCTGCAGCACCTTGTGCTGGTGGCGCATGATGTCCGAGATAATCTTGACGCAAAGGGTAGCATTTTCCTCGTTATCGTTCCGAACAAGACCCATCAACAAGTCGACAATCTCGGGGGCGAAAGGCTCGAAGGGCTCGGTCGGCGAAGGGCTGGTGGGAAGACGATGCAAGACCTCTAAAATGCAGTGGCGGAGCCTCTGTGTATAATTCGTTAGGTTTGTAACAATTGATGGTTTTGGGGAGAACAGAACGAACCTGCTCCATGTTGTTGCTTTGAAAAATACATTGTCCGCGCAAGATGTTGATGAAAATGGGCATCAATCTCTTAAGGAACGGGGAGTATATAGGACCATTGGTGTAGTGATCCAAACTATCGCGTAAAGTCGTCGCAGCTTCAAATTTCAATTTCGTATCTGGAAGGCATTGCAAGTTAGTAAATACTGGTCCGTTCGATGATCAAGGCACGTGGTATAGAGGAATTGAACAGTACCCGTCTCAGGAATACTGAGACGCTTTACGACGTCATCAATAGTGGTTCCCGACATGACTGCATCATCGGCGTCCACAAGGCGCCGTAGGTCGTTCCATCCGCTGGGAAACGATCCTGTCGTGAAGCTTCAAGAAGTTCGGGGAGCGTAGAGAGCTTGGTGTCCTCGCGACAGCTTCGCGACAGTGATGGCCCGGAAACTTGCGAAATCCAATACTGGGTATATATTAGTATTCTGAAGAAAATCAGAATTGAGGTTTCTTCTTTGGTTGCGACAGGATGCCAAAAGGAGGAAAGGGCGTTATTGTTGAGAGTCGCTCGCCTGGGAAGAACCAAACGGTTGCAATATGAAGATGGAATTAGAGGCCGCCTCGCGTTGAAAATCCCAAGACCCAGTGAGACTGGGCGCCGCGGTCACCAAATCATCTTGCGCTAGGCGCTGCAACAATGTTAATCCGGCGCTAGTGCTGCACACACCCTGCCAATTGGGCGTGGTTGTAGTGAGGCTTAATTGGTGGGCTGTTATCGATAAGAGACTGTCCCTCACGGCTGTGGCTTCCTGGTGCCTTCCCGTAGCGCCTATCCCAACCATCATTGACTTCCCCAATCACATGGAGAAACAATAGATAAGAGAGAGCTAGCTGCGTACCTGAACTCTATTACTACCTTACACTAACTTTTTATCAAAATTTTGATTACTCATACCTGGTATATCAACTCTTGCTACCTACCTATTTACAACTTCCAAGATATCGCATACGAGTGAGTGCTTGTTCGCCATCGAATGATAAGCTTGATTCTCAAGATTGAGCATAAGTTTGGCCTCTAGGGCCCTATCATCGATAGCTCTAGCAGAATCTAGATTTTGGTGGGGTATATGGTGTGTTGCTGAGCCCAACTTATATGATACAGCTTGCCTGTTTGCTCGTCTCGAAGTCGTTCACGTTCAACTAACACAACAACATTTAGCTGCAAGACCCTTTATCGTCGAGTAGCCCCGGACTCTGTCTGGAACTTCGAGAAGATGAGTGGGGATTTCACAGCCTTTTTTTATGGTAGGTCGACCTGCGCTCGATAGGGATATAGTTGTTAACTGATCTTGTGACAGGCACCTTGGTATGATACAAACCCCTTTCGGCCACTATTGAGAGAACCAAAACTAAGACTTAGTAAATCAGATGGCGCCCGAGGTGTTCTTTACCGTATGTTATGGAACGTCGAAACCGCCACAAGCTTATCAAGCCATGCACACGTTCACCCCAGCTACTCTGGACGGTTACTGTAGACACCGAGTCCAGTTTGCCGACTACCCTGGAATCATACCAGAGGAGGGATGTTCGGTTCGCGGCGTGTATGCAACAGGCCTGACGGATGCCAATATGCACAAGCTCGATTATTTTGAAGGCTCGGAATACAAGAAAGTGAATGTCAAGGTGAAGCTTCTCAAGAACGAGGGGGGAAGTGAGGTCGAGGGAGAAGAGAAGGACGCCGTCGTCTACGTCTTCCTGTCAGCAGAGGACCTTGAGAAGGTCGAATGGGACTTTGAACATTTTCGGAAGGAGAAGATGGACATGTGGGCACGGTGAATGAGTTTCTCAGGTAGGATCCTTCTTGTGCCAAGCCATCATCACTAGTCCCAACTCGCCGTTCTCGAGTCTGAGCTTGGGCAAGCATGTCTGGTGGCGGCAGAGGAAGGTTCCAGCTTCCCCTGCCCGTGAGATTTCGAGACAATCCATGCTGTTTGCGACGTGGGATTTGATTTAGAGCGAAGTGACGGGGGAGTATCATACAACCCAAATGGACAACGACGTGACGAGGAGGTGCGGGGTGAAACTCTTTCGTGGCTAGGACTTGTATAAAGAGTATCTGGTATCGAACCACATAGATTATAGAAATGGATATATTGACATGGGAATTACGACTAATCAATGAAAATCTTACAAGTTGCAGCATAGACGGCCATTAGCCAGCTCATACCACGCTAGCTCTGCATCTCACATTGAACAGAGCTCCTACCAGCCAAGGAGACAGCCCGCTGCGGTGCCTGGTCAGACTTAATCCGCAGCAGATCATGTTACAGATATTATCCCGCAAGAAGTGTAAAAAAAGCAATCATGCACATCAACCTGATCGGATGAATTGTCAGACGGGGATTTTCACTCCAGGGCAGGGCCCGATTATCCACCATCCGTGAATGGACTGATGGTGAGAAATATGAAACAGACGAACAGCACAGGCCATAGTGTTTTCCACACGATGATTCGAGACGGCACAAGGGTCACAGCAGATCGCGGCCGCCCGCGAAAACATATCCCGGTGACGTTTCCAGATAGAGGCAATGAGCGTCCCAAACTCAACTTACAAGGTTGTCAGAGGCCATAGCGACGAACCAACATGGGATGATGGCACATCGCGGAGATGAAGCAGCAAGTAGGCAAGATGGTGGAAACCCTGAAGAAAATCTTTACCACCATGTTCCTGGTCTCTTCTGCCAACGCCACGTCAAATCGTGAAATAAATGCCTCCTGGCGCAGATGGACAGCGAGCTACAGGGATAGCAAGTCATGAAATTAAATGAAGAAGAAAAGAACAGAGCCCTTATTGTTCTGCCGAGAAAGGATTGCATCGGGCATGATGAGGCAGGGTTTGCTCACTGACCAGGAGTCGAGACAGCATCTCTCGAAGGCGTAGGCAAAAACTGCCGGCGACTTCCGGAAAGGCACCTAGGCTGATATCACATGTGGAAGGTCCTCCTGAGCATCACCCGCGTCAGATGTAGATGGGATAACGAACATAGGGAAAATACCGAAACAGGAATTGTGAAACCCTGGTCTGGTTTCGATGTTTCGGCTCCACGCGCACCCCACAAAACCAACAAGGTGGTCTTCGGCTCTTGGCAGAACGATCCCTGCCTGTTGCCCTCTGGACTACGAAGGTGAAGCCCCTCACTGGTCGGCTGTGAGAGACTATGGGATGATAGTGAGGAGCACGATCACCGGTCATCTTTGCTCGTTCCATCATGACTGGCTAACCATCTGAACTTCCCCTGCATGCCTAGGCGGCGCTTCAGGGGGATCCTCACCCGAATCACAAGACATGAATGCAAGATTCTCAGAAACCTGCCGGGAGCCTGAACCAGTCTCTCACATCTGACTGGCGGACGAGCCGCTCTCCCACCCACAGGTACCCGGCTAAAGGTGTCGCGCATACAGAGACGATTGGTCCGTTCGGAAAGCCATGACTAGGACCCAACGTCTACTGCGTGTGAGTCAACCACATGAAGCAGCGAAAATTCCCCTCCTCCCTTCTCTCATGAGTTGTCGGCTGTCATAATAATCGCACCTCTCTGTTCATGCTGTTTGCCATTCAGGTGATGCTAGCTTCATTATGCCAACCCAGCGGTGGCGCACATTGCTGTTCGGCAGGTTGCCGGAATTGGCGAGGCGTGGCCATCTAGATTAAACGGCACAGACATTGACCTGACAAAAGAAGCCAAAGCTCTGTTACCAGATCATGCATGGTGGCAGTGGTTGAGATGCGCTTTGGCCGGCTGCGAGGCCCCTGGGGTCGGCGACGTCGATGGCCTGTGCTGAAGCCTGGCACCTGGGTCGTATCCATTATTCATGGAGCGTTTCGTGCTTTGCGAGGTGATGTGATCTGCAGCCACACCGAGGACGGCATGGCTGGCGATCTGCAGGTACGGACAGCTCAGGAGCACGCGTGGGCGCCAAACTCACCAGTAGTCTTGTCGGACAGACACACAGTCCTGTCAATTGCGCCCATCCAAGCGGGAATGGGGCCCGTGGCTGAGGGTTGTGTTGCGGTGAACGGCTGCGTGCAGGAAGTGTCCTACCTCCCGTCCGCAACATTGACCACAGCATGAAGCAAGCCAACATGCATAGCAGAGGTCTGATGAATTATGGAGACAAGGTAGAGGCTGTACGCGGCCCGATTGATTTGGGGAATCTCCCGGGGGACACCGAGCAAGGAAGGCGCATCACAGCTCGCCTCTCATTCCATTTGCGTAGAGTCGTGTCTTTTCTGTAACACCCAACGACCTTAACTACCGGAGGCCCCTATCCCCCATCCCTGTCAGGCAGACTGCCCAAGACCCCTCCTCAAGCTGGTCGCGGTCGCTGCCGCCTAACATAATCAGTTAGAATTTCTCCGGCAGGCCCCTCCAGCGATTCCAATGATCCTTGTCGTTGAGTGCACTGACGCAGTGTGCTTTCGCATGTGCCTCGCCCCAGCCTCCTGTGCGTACTACCGGAGAATGCCATGACGGTAGTACGGGACTCCAGCATGAGGTATGCTCAGCCATGGTAATTTTAAGCTAAACTGCTTTTTTCTTGTCCAACCCCCGAACACGAGGATCATGAGGTCACTTGCGCAGACGGAATGGAATGATGCAGCTGACCGCCGTATGCAATGCAGAGCCATCGGGTGCCCTCTGGCGCGCGGCTCGAAGCTGGAGACCAACGAAGAGAAAAAGAAAAAGAACAAGAAAAAGCCGCCCGGCACCAGGCTAGTAGAGGGGAGGGAGCGCTGAGGTTTGCTGGTTCGGGCAGGTCTGGATGTGTGGCCTGGGATAGGGGTGCGTTACAGCGCCTGTGCTGCTTACTTGCAGCGCCCAGTGGTGGCAGCAGACTCAATCCAGGAGGCGGCAAAGGGAAACACCACCAAACGGGACCTAACGTGTTCCACTATCGCCCATCCCCTGTCCTGCTGGCCGGTGCTGGATGGCTGCCGCGGCGCCAGAGGGGAAACAGGCCGTTTTAGGCAGGGACGAGCCACAGCCAGTGGACTGGCTCTCCGCTCGATCAGACTCCGGACCCCACCTCGACCTGCAGCCAACTCTTGTCCGCGCTTGAGCACATGCCAGGGACAAGATGAAACACCGTCGCCAGCCTATCAATGGCTGTACCGTTTATACGTCTCCCTTTGTCCTGAGAGCCTGCCGACACTAGAGGACGGGCCCTGGCAGCTCCACCATGCATCAAAAGCGCTTGCACCGAGTTCAATGCTTGCCCCTGGCTGGCTGCGTCCGTGTGTGCACCCCTGTTCTGGCCCAGGGCCTCTCACGATCTGCATCAGCCAGTCTGCGTGCCATCCAGGCCCATGTTTGACCTCTTGCTCATTGTGCCCAGCTGTGTCTGATGTCGCCTCACGGTTGGTCGATCTAGAATTCTCCTTTCTTTTCTGGACTAGTTGCCTTGGTGGTCTGTGTTCTGAGGTGGTCCATTCACCCATTCTCCTGAGCCCTCCCCACACACAACGCCTGGCCAAACGATCTGGAACATGACTCTCATTTTTGTATAAGAAGCCCGGCCTCCTTCACGTATTCAGACTGTCTTTCTTTCTTCACCACCACCAAACAGTCCATCCTTTCCAGACGCTTGTCGTCCACCATTCAGTCCTTCATTCTTATAAAAGGCTAGTCCTTTAGGTATCTTACCTCAACATTCACTCACAATCTGCCCGGTGCAAACATCAACTTGGGAACTTCCCCTTCAACGCAAGAGCACGGTCTCGCGACAACTACTCGACTTTTGGTTTGCCTATCTCTCGTCCGGAACGAAAGAACACTATACCCAACAATACCCAACACTTATCAACTTACAAGACTATCTTTTGACAAGATGCTCTCCAAGACTCTCGCTTTCCTCGGCCTGGCTGCCTCTGCCAGCGCCCACATGGTCATGACCAGCCCCGTCCCCTTCGGCAACCCCAACAACTCTCCTCTTGATGCCAGCGGCTCGGACTTCCCCTGCAAGGGCCCCGTCAGCGGCGGCGACTTCTCCACCAACAGCTACGCCCAGGGCAGCACTCAGAAGCTCGCCTTCAAGGGCAGCGCCGTCCACGGTGGTGGTTCTTGCCAGGTTTCCGTCACTACCGACCTGAGCCCCACCACCGCCTCCGTCTGGAAGGTGATCAAGTCCATCGAGGGAGGTTGCCCTGCCCAGAACACCGAGGGCAACCTGGGCAACGACGCCAACCTCGAGGACCCCTACACCTACAGCTTCAAGATCCCCGAAGACCTCGCTGCTGGTCAGTACGTCTTCGCTTGGACTTGGTTCAACAAGGTCGGTAACCGAGAGATGTACATGAACTGCGCTCCCGTTACCGTCACTGGCTCTGGTGGCAGTGAGGGTTTCCTCAGCACTCTGCCCGACATGTTCAAGGCCAACATTGGCAACGGCTGCAGCACTCCTGCCAACACTGATGTTGAGTTCCCCAACCCTGGTAACGAGGTTGAGCAGCTCAACGGTGCCACCAGCGCTTTCGCCGCTCCCAGTGGTAACTGCATTGGCAGCCCTGGCTCATCTCCTACTGCCTCCGCCACCAAGACCACTGCTGCCCCTACCACTGCCGCTCCTACTTCCACCAAGACCTCGGCTCCTTCTAGTGCCTCGAAGCCCGTCTCCTCTCCTATCGCTACCACCTCCATCCCTGGAGGTGTGTTCCTGCCCATCCCCGGCTCTAGCACTACTGGGGCTTCCACTACTGCCGCTGCCACTGCTACTGCCTCTGCTGCTCCCACCACCACTGCTACTCCCGGTGGCGGCAGCGGTAGCTTCACTGCCGGTACTGCTTGCACCAGCGAGGGCCAGTGGAACTGTGTTGGCGGCTCGTCCTACCAGCGATGCGCCAGCGGCGCCTGGACTGTTGTCCAGCCCCTTGCCAGCGGCATGACCTGCAGCGGCGGCCAGTCTTCTGAGCTCACCGTCAAGGTTGCCAACGAGAGGGCCATCCGCCGTGCGGTCCCCTTGGTCGCATAAGCTGTCAATAGCGATGCCAATGGGTATGGATTGGATTTGGGGGTCTGGGTTGGGGGAATATGGCGTTTGCGGTTTGGATACCGAAGAGGATTTCTGTATATTTTAAAATTTTTGGACATGATCTTCAAAAACCATGAGATAACTATCTCCACAACATTTTATGATTTTCTTTCTACTAAATAGAAATATGATTTACGATCACAACTATCTGTTCCCACTGCCTGTGATGCCTGAATGTGATTCAAACTGTAATACACGATGTACCAATGCCAATGTAAAAATGCTCAGGGTCACGATGAAACTCGAGATCGTCACCAGGAAGATCTTCAGAACACAAAAAGGAAAAATAGTCCACGGCACAGTCAGGGGCGGTATACAATGTAAGTCAAGCGATGCCCGAGACCCAGAAGAACCCGCCAGGGAAACCCTGCATAACATACACCTCGCGCGAAGAGGGGTCAAGTAACCGCCTGCGTTCCAAGACCTTGGCAGCCAACGCGGACCG